ATCTTGATTTCGAGATTCAAATCTCGAGATCAAGATGTCGAGATGCCCATCTCGAGATCTTGATTTCGAGAAGATGAACCGACGAATTTTGACGAAATTTTCACCTGCAAAAACAACAATATAACAAACAATAACAATCGATTTCGACATACATTCAAACGAAAAAAAACTAATATGAATTTGATTTAGGGAAAGTTCAAGGTTTTTGCGAAATCAAACGTTCTTTTTCAGGATTTCGAATACGAACAAAGAAAACAGTTTTTCGAGATGATCCTTTGTTTTCGAGATTTCCGATTGTGAACGTTAACTACCTTCAAAGGGTAGTTGAGAAAGATAGAAGGGGATTGCGAGATCGTAAGGTTGGGAAGAAGACGGAAGGTCTGAGAGCTCTGTTTTTTTGCGAAAACTTTTGGCCTTTGAGAAAATCAGAATGAAAGAAGGAGAAGGGCTTTTGCGAGGCTTTTATACGCGAGAAAAAAAATATGGACCTCCTTCGTAAAGATTTTCGATGCCCAAACAGTAAAAAATAGAGAGCTCCCCCTTAATCAGTGAAAATTAGGTCCCCCTCAAACAGTGAAAATTTTCTCCCCCTCAAAAATTGCAACGAACAATATGTACAAATGCAACGCACACACACTATTTTTTGTTCGTTTTGATTTTTCACCCACTCAACACATGCAACGCACACACACTATTTTTTGTTATTTTTCTGGTTTTCATCCCCTCAACACATGCAACGCACACACACTATTTTTTGTTATTTTTCTGGTTTTCTCCCCCTCAACACATGCAACGCACACACACTATTTTTTGTTATTTTTCTGGTTTTCTCCCCCTCAACACATGCAACGCACACACACTATTTACAAATCCCACACACACACACTTTTTAGATCAGTGGAAATATAATTAAACGGGCTCGAGGTTCAACATGCCCAACTTGGAGACTAGGAACTGGAATCGTTTTTCATCCAATGCCTTAGTGAACAAGTCAGCTAGTTGAAGCTCTGAGCTTACAAAATACATGTCAATGTCTCCTTTCTCCACATGATCCTTGATGAAATGATAGCACAGGTCGATGTGTTTGGTGCGGGAGTGATGAACCGGGTTGCTGGTGATGGCTATGGCGCTTTGAGAGTCACTGTAGATCGGGATATGGCGGAGTGTGTAACCGTAGTCCTTTAGCTGGGTCTTCATCCATAATATTTGTGAACAACAGCTAGCAGCCGCGACGTATTCTGCCTCGGCCGTAGATGTTGACACACAGTTCTGTTTCTTGGAAGACCAGCAGACTAGCTTATCGCCCAAGAATTGGACAGCTCCCGATGTACTTTTGCGGTCCATCCGGCAACCAGCAAAGTCAGCATCCGAATATCCGACTAGGTCAAAACCTGAGTGCTTGGGATACCAAAGGCCTAGATTCACAGTGCCTTTGAGATATCTCAGAATTCTTCGAACAGCGGTCAGATGGGATTCCTTCGGATTTGCCTGAAAGCGTGCACATAAGCATGTGGAGAAGACAATGTCAGGCCTGCTTGATGTGAGATAAAGCAAAGATCCAATGATAGCCCTGTAGTTTGTAGCATCAACTGGCTTCCCGGAGGGATCTGAGTCCAGTTTGTTGTTGGGGGACATAGGGGTAGTCATGGAGGATTTGCCATCAATGTTGAATCTCTTAAGCATTTCCAGAATGTACTTAGACTGATTGATGGATGCCGTCAGAGAGTTGTCTTACTTGCAGGCCTAGAAAGAAATTCAATTCGCCCATCATGCTCATTTCGAACTTGGTTTTCATCAGTTTCTCAAAGTGTTTGCACAGGCGTGGATTTGAGGAGGCGAAGATAATGTCATCAACGTAGATCTGAATCAGGATGATGTCAGACTGTTGTCTCTTGATGAAAAGTGTGGTATCAATCTTCCCTTTTGAGAAACCTGAATCAACCAGAAATTCGGTTAAGGCATCATACCAAGCTCTTGGTGCCTGTTTTAACCCATACAGAGCTTTCTTCAGCTTGTACACATGGTCGGGATATCTGGGAACTATGAATCCTTCGGGCTGAGCGACATAGACCTCTTCTTCCAAGACTCCATTCAGAAAGGCAGTCTTGACGTCCATTTGAAAGACAGTAAAGTTCTTGTGGGCCGCGTACGCAAGAAAAAGGCGGATTGCTTCAATTCTTGCTACGGGTGCAAATGTTTCATCATAGTCTATGCCCTCTTGCTGATTATATCCTTTAGCGACCAGTCGTGCCTTGTTCCGTATCACTATGCCTTCTTCGTCCTTCTTGTTCTTGAACACCCATTTTGTGCCAATGATGGTTTTCTGAGGGGGTTTAGGCACGAGTGTCCATACATCTAGTCTGTCAAATTGATTGAGCTCATCTTGCATGGCAATCACCCAATCTGGATCAGCGAGTGCCTCTGAGACTTTGGACGGTTCATTCTTGCTTAGAAAGCATGCATAGTGACATTCATTTGTTGTTGCTGATCGTGTTCGTACACCTTGACTTGGATCACCTATTATTTGTTCAACAGGATGTGCTCTTGTCCACTTCCTCTCATGAGCTAGAGGAGTTGAAGTAATTATTGGTTGATCTGAGTCCTGATATGAGTTTGAAGGCTCTGGGGCAGTTGTGGTGTGTAGTGGAGATGATTCCGGACTTATGGCAAAGTCGTGATCATCCACACCTCTAGGATTGGTTTGAGGGGTTGAGGGTGTGGATGGTACGTCATCTGGTCCTGTGAGGAGTGGAATCTCTGCTGTTGGAGTTGATGTTGACTCTGAAGTGTATGCAGGAGGTGGAGATTGTGAGTTCTCGTAAAAGTTTCTGAAGAGAGAGTCGAGAATCACATCGTCGTGTTCGGTGTTTGGTTCAGCTTTATCAGAAGCTACTGGTACAGCAGTGGATGGATCGGTCTGGAGATGTTCAATAGCAAAGTCTGCCATTTCATAGAATGTAACGTTTACACTCTCGATGATAGTCCGCTTGTCTCTGAGGTAGACTCGGTAAGCTTTGGATTGCAGTGAGTAGCCAATGAACACGCCTTCTCTGGCTTTGGGATCCAGCTTACTTCTCTCTGTCCGATCATTGAGTATGAAGCACTTGCATCCAAAAACCTTGAGGAAAGAAATATCAGGAGTTTTGTTGAATAGTATCTCATATGGAGTCTTGTCGAAGCGCTTGTGGATGAACGTTCTGTTCTGAGTGAAGCACGCAGTATTGATTGCCTCTGCCCACATGAAGTGAGGCAGTCTTGATTGAATTAACATGGTGCGTGCTGCTTCAACAAGGGTTCTGTTCTTTCTCTCAACAACTTTGTTCTGCTAGGGAGTTTTAGCTGCTGCAAATTGCTGAGTGATACCGAGTGATTCATAGAACTCAGTGAGAGTCTGATTTTTGAACTCGGTACCATTGTCAGTTCTGACAATTCGAACACTGTGCTGTAGCAGTTTCTGGATCGTTCTGATAAAGGTCATAATGTTTTCTGCAGCTTCGTCTTTTGATCGGAGAAATTTCGTCCATGTATACCTAGAGAAGTCATCAACGATCACCAGAGTGTATTTGCGACCATTGATGCTTTGTACTCTCATAGGTCCACACAGATCCATGTGTATTAGCTGCAACTGATGAGTAGATGAAGGTTCAGTTTTTGACTTGTGGGAGCTTCGCGTCATTTTGCCCATTTTGCAGGCACTACAATGATTTTCAGCGGAAGACTTTAGCAGAGGAAGCCCCTTGACAAGTTTCTTGGAGGACAAGGTTGATAGATGTTTGAAGTTCAGATGGGAGAGACGTATGTGCCATAGGTTGTTCTGTTCAGTTGAAGCTTTGGACAGCAGACAGATGGAAGTGGTGGATTGGACGCTTTTCAGATCAATAGTGTACAGATTTGATGTTCTGTAACACGTTAATAATGTATTTCTTGTGCTGTCAAGAACACATCATTGTTTTGCAAAGAACCTCACTTCCATCCCGCTGTCACAGAATTGTCCAATGCTCAGTAAGTTGTGTTTGAGCCCTTTGACGAATGAAACATCTTTTATTGTAACGCTGGCACAGATGACGTCCCCATACCCAAGGATAGGAGATGAGGCGTCATTCCCGAATCTGACATTTCCTCCGTAGCAGTTGGTGTAGTTGCTCAAAAGGTGCTTTATTCCGGTCATGTGGGTTGAGCATCCTGAGTCTAAGTGCCACACATGACCGTCCTGCAAAACAATCAAATAAGATTAGGTACCCAACTTGGAGTGGGTCCTTCCTTATTATCAAGAAACACCTTTTTAAAACTTACTTTGAGCAGTGATCCAAGGTCAGCTGCTCTTTCAGCAAAAGATCTATCTTCGATGGGCTTTCCAGTTGCCAGATCTGCTTTTGCAGTGTGTCTGGTTTTTGGAGTCCACCTAGCACTTTCCATTTTGGTGGGTCTGATGTTGTGAACCCACCTTTCCATTTTAGTCCTTGTGGGTCTAAGTTTGGGGACCCACCTTTCAGTTGCAGTTATGATGGGTCTTCGATTTGGACCCCACCTATCAGTTTCAGTTATGATGCGTCTACGATTGGGAACCCACCTTTCAGTTTTAGTTTGGATGGGTCTTCGTTTGTGGATCCACCTTTTCGATTCAGGTTTGGTAGGTCTTATCTTGGGGACCCACCTTTCAGTTTCAGTTTTGATGGGTCTTCGTCAGTTTCAGTTCAGGAGGAGAGTAGACAGGTGCTTTGTGATTGAATGGTTGTTTCTTGAGTTTGGTTTTAAAAATCTCCTCCTTAGAAAGCTGATTAACATGTTTCCTAGAATGAACTCTAAGGGCATATTTCATATCTGGAATACAAAACGTTCCCTTAGAAGTTCCTTTCTTGGTTTCTTTTTCAGGTTTAAGCTTTCTGGAAGGCTTAGATTTAACAACATTCATATCACATTCATAATTATGGGGATCTGGAACAGAATAACCATAAGCAATACTTGTATTATAAATAGAACTTTGTCTAGAAGATGTCTCAGAAATATTCAGCTTGGGACTCAAGACTGAACTGTTAGAAGTTTGCTTTGTAGAGACAGAATTACAATTAACTTTTGAGTAAAATATTGAACTAGATCTAGGACTGGCACTTTTCTCAAAAACTTTCTTTTTGCCTTCTGCGATTTCCTTCCTCTTTTTCCTCCACTCATTCTTCTCTTCTCCTTCCTTATTCACTTCATTCCCTGTAAACAAAGGAGAAGAGAGATGAGTGGACGAACCTTTAAAAGCGTTGTTTTTCTCATGTGAGGTGTGTGAGCTGTCAGGCTTGGTCGTAGAAGGGTCTGTTTTAGCATGAAACTGCTCACTCAAATCATTAAATTTTTGAAGAAGTTCCTGCCAGTTGCGCTCAAAACCTTTCTTTTCAGTTTCAAATCTCTCTCTCTCGTTATCAAGAGTTTTTTGTAGGTTTTTGAGCTTTTGAGCCATAGGAAAAATACATGGTTCCTCACCAGTTTTAGCAATACCAACTCTTGGGGGAGGGTCTAGAGGGTGTCCTATGTGAGGAATATCTTTAGCATAGGGGTCTAGGCATTCACTAAAGCAGGAAGTCGGTTTTTCTTCTGAAAGTTGTTTTTCATTTACAGAGGGATAATCACAAGAAATCGCAGGTTTTGGTTTCTTTCTCTTTTCTTCTTCTGCTTCAGCATAATCTTCATCACTTCGAAAATACATTTTCTCGCCAAACCCTAGTCCCATGTAATCTTTGTTATAGAATTGAAGGCAATTAACTTTCTTAAGATTACGTGGGTTGGTTATGCCCAGACCTGTTTTAGCATTGTAGAATCGGTCATCCTTTTGTTTGTTGTTAAGCAGAAAAACAGTTTGTTCAGATTGACCTCTTCTAGCAGCTAGATCTTCTAGTTCTTTTACTTTATTTAAAAGCGTTCTTCTTTTGTTATGCAAAAAATCGCATTCAGCCTTTGTTGTGCTTTTTTCCCGTTCACTGTCCTCAAATTTCTTAGTTAATTCAGCTATCTTAAGTTCAAAGCTTTCAAAATCTGAAGACACCTTTTTGACTTGATCTTAAGTTAAGGAAGACTTTTGGTCTAGATTCTGTTTCAGAACTCTATGATTATTGTCTAGTCTCTCCTTTAGTTCTTTGATTAGACTGTCCTTTTCAAGTAAGGACTGCTGTTGATTATCTAAAGAAGTATGTGAAGTACTTACAGAGCTTGTTGAGCAGTTGCCTTCGGGGATCGCAGCATCACCCTTTATTTCATCTCCCTCCACTCGTGCCATAAGAGCATAGTTGTCTTCCTCTTCCTCCTCCTCAGAAGAATCTTCTGCCCAGTTCTCATTTTCAGCAATCATGGCAGAGGTTTCTTCTTCTTTCTGCACCATCCGCATTTTCTGCTTATTCCACAGCATCTTCTGCATGTAGAAGTTAGCATCTTTCTTCTTTGGGAGGCGGCAGTCTTTGATCACATGTCCAGGCTTGCCGCAATTATAGCATTTAGGAGCTTCTTCTGCTGATGATGCCTTCCTAGAAGATCCTTGATCATGGTTCTTCTGCTTGTAGTTTGAGGAGGAAGTTCTCAGCCTGTTGGAGGAAGTGTTCTTCTTTGCAAATCTTTTGGCCAGCATTGCCATCTTCTTCTGTAAGTCTGCTAGCTCAGCCTCTAGATCAGATTTGTCATCGTCACTCTCATCATCATCTGATTCAACCACCACCACCTTCTTTTTCTTCTTTAGTAAAGTGGTTGTCCTTCTAGGCTGAGCATCCATTACAAGAGCTAAGGGGTTTGTGGTATGATGATCCTCAGCACAGGCAACCTCGTTGACGAATTGCTTCAGATGTTCATAGAGAGTGCAGAGGTCAATTTCGTCCAGATCTATCCGTGATCTGACATCCTTCACTGTCTTTTCCCAAGCAGGATGCAGGCTGGATAAGAATCTAATATTTAGTTCCAGATTGGACCTGAATACTTTGATCTTTCTGAGTTCATTTACCAGTTGAACAAGTCTGTTGTAAGTCTCATTCAATGGTTCTCCTGGTCCTGCTTTGAAGGAGTCATAAGCGATGAGAATTGTAGTCTTCTTTGTTTTGAGGCTGATGCTTGTGCCTTGTAGCAGCTTCTCTATTTCATCCCACATTTCCTTAGCTGTCTGCATGCTATCTATGAGAACATAAACCTCATTTGGTATTGCTTGAAGGAGGTACGTTTTGGCCATAAGATCTCCACGAAGTCTGAGCTTGTCGGCTTCTGTGTATTCAGACGACACTTTTCTCCTTATTTCTGGAAAAATAGGAGGATTGTTCTCTGGATCTCCACCAACTGAAATTAAAAGTTCAGCTGGTCCTTCAAGCAACGATTCGAGCATTGTAGAAGAGTTCTCTTTGTGCTCGAGGAAGTTTAAAAATCTGTTCCTCCACATTTGATATTCTCCCTTCCTGAGGCTAGGAGGGGTACTGCTGTTCCCTTGTGCATTGTATTCTGAACCCATTGCTGTACTAAACTGACCGTTCGAGAAAATTGATCAAAAGATTTTCAAAGGCAGAATCTCGAAAAATCAGATGTCGATATCTGAATATCGAAATTTCAGATTTCGATAAAGGAGGCCCGGTATCGAGATTTGGGCTCGAGATTAAGGATCTCGAGATTTGGGATCTCGAGATTTCAAATTTCGAGATGCTGATCTCGAGATTTGAAATGTCGAGAAGTTAATCTCTCGAAATCTTAATCTGATGAGTCAAATGTCGAGACCAGATGTCGAAACCTTTTCTCGAAATCAAGATTTCGAAATCCAAGATGTCGAAATCCTCAATGTCGAAATCTTTCAACCTGTAAAAATCAGATAATCAAAATCTGAAGATAGTTTCCTGTAGAGTTGAATGTCGAGATCTTCTGGTAAAGTTTTCAGCTCGAAAAACGTAGCAGAACCTGTGAAGAAATAGGATGTCAAGATGCCTAGCTCGAGATATCTCGAAATCAAAAATTGCGTAAAACACAAACTGAAGTATACCCTTTGATCGCTTTGAAACGGCGATTCCAAAGGTGTAACTTTTACAACTTTTGAACAAGAAACAAAATTACAGAGCAAAAAATCGACAGAATGAACTACGTTAACAAAAACAGAGTATTCTGCAGGAGTTCTTCTGATCGTTCTCGATCGGCTCTGATACCAATTGTTAGTCCCTGTTTCTTTCACAGCAATGAATAATCGATCTAACAAGGAAGATTAAACGTAAAGATGAACACAGAATGAATCACCGTAAAACCTTCTTTGATAAACCGTGGAACGTACAGCAGAATGATATAAGCGTAAGGCTATGAATAATAAGTACGACGTTCAACCTTTTCCTAAACCTCGGCTCCCTTTTTATAGGCGAGGTTTAGGTTAGGCGTACCAGGCTTTTGGCCTGTTTAAATGGGCCTAACACTTGACCTGATTTCTATCTAATTTATGCACTAATTAAATACAAGGATTAAATATAAAGCTAATCTATGACCAACTTGATTCACAATTAAATATCTCCAACACGGTTGGTCAAACAAGGCCAAATTATCGGTATCGGCAAATTTATCAGATAACAGCCCAAAAAGTGAATTTCAGAGACTTCTAAATTAAGGTTGGGGAATGCATATCGATTCTAGGGTCCCATAAGGATTGGGAACAAGTGTTATATTTTATTTGACCCGATAAAATAAAATATACTTAAAACAGTCCGGAAAATACAACTTTCGGGACTGATTGTACACTTTGGGACAAATTAGGATGACCTCCCACATGGGTGGGGGCCACCCCACGAATTTTTCAACCTTTGGGGGCTGGATGAGGGCTAAGTTGGCTGAATAACAATTGATATGATGGGGGAGACACCCTTTGACATTTGGTAGACCCCCTCCCTTCACTCATTTGTCTAAATGAGACAAAAACCACCCCTCTCACCTCACCACCTCCACCCACTCGTACCAACACCCTAAGATAGCAAGGAGGAGCCCTGAAATTCACCATTTTCACACTCAAATTCGAGCTCAAGATAGAGGATCCAAGGAGGAGTGCTTGGAGAAGGAAAAAGGTGTAGGAAAGTGTAGAAATTGAGGTAATCACCTTGCCATAGCTTTCCCTTTATTTTTCTTCTACCATGAGGAATATTTATTATATGAAGAACCCTTGGGATGGTTCTCCATGTTCTAAGTATGGATTCATGGGTTGGAAAGTGGTTCTATGTCCAAGAACGGACGTAGAAGCCAAATCGACCGGTTTGCCGGAAAATAACCTTTTATAGGTTATTTGTGTTGATATGGGTTTTGTGATGATAAAACCTTGTTAGGAACTTGATTTAAAGTATTTTTGAGCTTCGCCGTAGTTTCGTCGGAGTTGGTCAAAGTTCGCCGGAGTTGGTCAAAGTTCGCCGGAGTTGGTCAAAGTTCGCCGAAACTAGTCAAAGTTCAATCGAGAAGTGTAGAACGCGCTTAAGCTTAATTAAGGTGAGGATGACCGACTATGTTGCTTATAATCTTTGGGTAAATCTCATGGGAATTCCTAAGTGAATACAAATGTGATGTGCATGGGTTGTTAATGGTTAAAAATGCCTAGATAAAACTACTATTGATTATAAGTATAGTATGCATGATACACAAATTTATGAATAAATTGTGTATGTTTAGATGTTATGAATATGTGTGTATGATGGTTGTACCAACCATGAATTTCATTTGAGATAGTATACTTTGATACCATGAGGAGAAGCCATGAAGGTATGGAAGTGATAATTGATATTTAGGCCAATCATGCATGAAGGAAGAATTATATTGAAATAAATAAATAACTAGCATTGAAATATTAGTTGGAAATGTTAGTTGAGAAATGGATGAATTAGATCCTAAGAAGGAGAATTATAAAGAATCGGTGATTATGAGCCGGGCTCGGGACCGATGTAGATAACGGTGATTATGAGCTGGGCTCTAGACCGTAGTAGATGACGGTGATTATGAGCTGGGCTCTAGACCGTAGTAGATGACGGTGATTATGAGCTGGGCTCTAGACCGTGGTAGATGACGGTGATTATGAGCGGGGCTCTAGACCGTAGTAGATAACGGTGATTATGAGCTGGGCTCTAGACCGTAGTAAATAATGATGAATTGATACTAAATGAACGGATTAACTATAATGTAATAATGCTCTAGATTGAGGGCCTCAGAGATTTAAACTTCGATTATACTTAGTATAGTTGTCATTGTACTTGTCAAATGCTTCCAAGTACTGACCTCCCCTTCACGGGGGAGGCCACCTCACAGTTTCAGGTAGAACTTGAAGGTTGCTACTACCAGCCGCTGTTTCGGGAAGTTTCTGAGAAGAAGACTTGGTTCGTGCTTCTTCTGTTCTTGTTTTGAAAACAATATGAATAATGCTCATGGATATTATTTTCTGAATATACATTTCGGGGGTTTGTATACCCATGTTTGCCAAGTGTGGCTTGAACACTTGTAATGTTGTTTCCGCTGTTTTAAATGAATGATTTACATTATGTTTGTTTATGGATGTACTATGTGTGAATGATATTCATGACGCCTTGTATAGTATGGATGAGTTGGACTGCGGTTGGCTATTCGTACTGTACGGCGGGTTGTTGACGTGTCCGGCTAGGTCCGGGGCGTGACAGCTTCAGAAGCAACACTTGGTGTTTGTTTCAGCCCCCGGTTACTTGGTACCGAGGGGTCTTCAAAAGGAAACACTTGGTGTTTTCCGCTATCTGGAGTTGATAGGAGTATGTACCCTCGGCACTTGGTACCGAGGGGTCTTCTTAAAAACACTTGGTGTTTCCTTCATTTGTCGTAGGTGATTGGAGTGTCAACCCTCGGCACTTCGTGCCGAGGGGTCTTGCAATAAGGTCTTGGGCTAGGAGTCTGAATGAGGGCTAGTGTCAACCCTCATATGTGTCTTGTTTCTTGTTCTTGGTGTCTTTAATATGTCTTCAAATTTGAAGGCCTTGGGCCGTAGAATAATACATTCATTAGTTATGAGGGCTTGGCCGCTCCAACATTACTGATAAAATCTAACTAGATGGTGTACATTCCAATGTCGGGGGACCTCAGTCCCGTTGGGGCGTTTGAGCTTGTAAGTTCCCGGTTTGATGACGGCTGCAACGATGTATGGGCCCTCAAATTTGGGTGCCATTTTACCGCCCTCGGTTGGCTGGCTTGCTTCCCTTCGTCGTAGGACATAATCCCCCACCTGGAATTCTCGATAGCGGACTTTGGCGTCGATGTAGCTTTTGATTTGCCTTCGGTAGTTTTCCGCTCGTATGAAGGCTTGCTCTCGGCGTTCTGAGATGAGGTGAAGATTGAGGGCCATGTTGGCGTCGTTGGCTTCGGGGTCATATTGGGCTACCCTTCGGGTAGGAAGGGTCACTTCAGTGGGAGCTTTAGCTTCAAATCCATAGCACAGGGAGAAGGGTGTTTCACCTGTTGCCCACCGAGGGGTGGTGCGGTAAGCCCATAGGATATTGTGGAGTTCTTCTACCCAGCCTCCCTCTTCGGCCTCCAGCTTCTTTTTGAGGCCCTCAAGTAATGTCCGGTTGGCATTCTCCACTTGACCGTTGCCTTGGGGGTAAGCAACGGATGAGAAGGTGTGCTTGAAGGGGGCCAAAGGGGGCTGCCTCAAATTAGGACCCATTGTCGGAGATGATTTGTTGGGGGACGCCAAACCTTGTGAGAATGTTCTTTAGGACAGAGTGGCGGCACCTGGCCTCAGTAATACTGGCGAGGGGCTCAGCCTCCACCCACTTGGTGAAGTAGTCAATGGCAACGATGATGTACCTGTTGTTGGAGGTACCCCTCGGCAGAGGGCCCACAAGGTCTATGCCCCATCTAGCGAAGGGTATAGATGTGTTGATGGGGGCATAGTTGATCGCTGGCCTGTCGGGGGCTTTCTGGAAGTGTTGACATGCGGTTTACCTTCGGGCGAGATCCGCATAATCTCGAGCCATCGTAGGCCAGAAATAGCCCTGGATTATGAGCCTTCGGGACATGGAGAAGGGTTCCTATTGAGTCGAACAAGTGCCACTGTACACTTCCTCCATTGCCAATTCGGCTTCATCTTGATGAAGGCATCGAAGCAGTGTGCTGTTGTAAGATCGTTTGTAGAGCCTTCCTCCTTCGATTGTGTAACTGGGAGCCCTCAGCTTCGCTAACTTGGCGCGGGACTCATCCTCTGGCAGTTGCCCGGTGGTGATGAAGGCGATGATATCTCAGATCCAGTCCTCTTGCCTTTGCTGAATTTGCATGATGGGGCTGGCGTGTATGCTTTAGATGCTGGGCTCCTCTATCCTTGCAATCTTGGAGAGGTGCTTGGGAGATTCATCCGAGAGTTTTGATAAAATATCGGCCTCAGAATTTTGAGCTCTCAGTATTTGGGTGAGAGAGTGTGCCTCAAATACCTTGAGCAATTCTTTAGCCGCCTCCTAGTATTGTTTCATCCTTCCTTCCTTGGCCTCATACTCCGCAGAGATTTGGCCCACGACAAGCTAGGAGTCACACTTGACGTGGATCATTCCGGCCTTCATATTTGCTGCCAGCCGAAGGCCACAGAGGAGGGCCTCGTATTTCGCTTCGTTGTTGGAGACTTTGAAGGAGAAGCGGATGACATAGTAGGACCGGAAGCCTTCGGGAGTAATGAGAACTACTCCTCCTCCGCATGCTTTGGTGGCTGAGGAGCCATCGGTATAAGGGTCCACCACTCGTCCGAAGGTGCCGAGTG